AAAGTAGCTTCTACAGCTAAATTATGTGTGTTAACTGTGAAAACGTGTGGATCGTGTTTGAATCTCCTATTATTATTATGACGGTGCTATTTGGTATTATCTATCACTCAATGACATTAGGGTCAGCCTCGTATGTTGGACCTTATACTTTATCATCAAATTGTATCCCATGTAAAACAGAGACTTTTGTGTTTCCAAAGAGCTCATTTGCATCCATGCGTGACGGCGTGAGTGGTTTAAGAAGACCTTTAAATGTAACAACAGTTTTTGTGGTTCTGCCATCGTGTAAAATGACTTAACAGTCCCCATAGAGCCTCATGAACTTTTATATCTGGAAGTAGCCACCACCTGGACGATTTAAGCAATGTAAAGTTTATATATGTATATTTAAGTGCCACGCACAGAGGGGAGCTGCTCAGTCACCTCCAAACTCCATTATCTATGCCTGGGAATCCCAGACTCGTGGATCCTGAAGTAATTTTGGATATAATGTCTGACCACATTTTATTAGTTTCCCGTGTGTTTCACAAAACCGACTGAAATTGACCCAAAGCTGTGTAACTGATCAGAGCATAAAATGTAATCATTCCACAACCAGCATTATCTCTTCTTTTTTGAATAGGCAAAATTTAATAGACAGTTAATGGACAAAGAAGATGGCTGGCTCTTTCATAGTAATTCTTCAGTGTTGACCTTGTCAATCCATGACAACTTTCCTTTAGTATTCCTATGCCCACTTAACTACATTAGTAAGAGGGATGCTGAAGAATTGGAACAGCAGACACATGTAAAAAAGAGAGAAAGAGAGAGAGAGAGAGAAAAGGACACAATACAGTTTCTAAAAATTACAACTGGCACAGGCTGGAACTCGAAAAAATCCTAAAAGGTGCAGTAATTGAGCCCAGAATTTCAGGGGGAATTGGCACATGAAATATTTGAGACAAATAATGCATGTCTCAGATAAAAACAGATTCTGTGCTGTTGATCTGAGCTCTCTCCTTCACTGAATTGGAACTAAAATGGCCTCCAAGTGTACTGAACAATGGGGGTGAGCATAATGCAGTGTGACTACTGAGTGACTTGACTGAGATCCAAAGTGAATAAAAGGCCTCACTATGTGAGCCAGCGAGGCTGAGCTGCTGCAGTGCTCAGGACTTTGGCGGGTGACAGTGCGTTATAACGCTTCACACACATTTCATTTGCCAATAAATCCTATTGCCATTTCCCACATTGCACGCGGCCTGTGTCATCAAAAGTTGTAATCATCAAATAAGCATTTGTACATAGTCTTAAAGAGTTTTTTCTCCCTCTGAAATGTAAAACCCCTGTCCTTCGACTTAAATTATCCTTTGTAAAGAGCAGCCTGAGAACGCATCTAATTTATGTAGTTTATTCATATTGCATATTGCATGAAAGAATCAAATCAATGTTCATGCACGGAAAAAAAGAGAATCAAGACATTTCTAACCTACTTATTGTGATTACAATGAATCTGAAGACCTAGTTTGTGTGGACTCATTAAATATTAATCGAAATCTTCGACACGAGATTCATTTTTTTGTGTTGCATTATCAAGTTTGAAACTAATTATTAACCCTTATCTGCATAAAGCTTCTTATTGCCACAGTCACATTTGGCAGATTTATTCGCTATTACCTAAAATTCAATCACGCCACAGAAAAAGGAGGCATGGAAAGAGGAGTAAGATGAACTAACATACCTGGCAGATTATCTGACAAATCGAAACCGTGTTTGGATGAGAAAAGTCAGATTTCCCCTTTCATTTCTAAATGATGACTGTGTAACGCTACGGTGCGTTTCAGTGACAGTGATTTAAGGAAGGAAGGGGTTTTTTGTAGAGTTGTTTTGTTTCCATGTAACAGTGAGGCATTTTGACATAAACATGACAAAGCACATCCCTCTCAGACAGTGACACCCCTTGACCCTGACCCTTGAAAACTGGCAACTTTAAACCAAATGAGGGAAGAGAATAATATATCTGTCCTCAGCCAAAGATCAGACAAGACAATGCCATGTGACCGCGTTTGTGAAGCCAAGTGAAACTTTGTTTCTTTGAACAGAGCCGCTTGCATGGAAGTACCAGTATTTGCAGAGAACGTGGCTGAAAAGTGTGTGTGTGTGTGTGTGTGTATGGGTGGGGGGACAACTGGGTAAGAAAACTGTCTTAAAATGTTGCGCTGTTCTGGCTGTCTGGTTGCTGAAAGCCTCTTTTTGCACATGCTTTAAAATTGTGACAGAATAGAAGGTGTGAGACATTTTCTGCCAAGGTTTTACTTAAAGCAGTTTTATATTTGTGCGCTCTGAAATTCAGAGTCACATTAGCTGGAGTCACTCTCGACTATTCATTGGGCTGATAGCGAAAAAAAAAACACATCCAGGAACTCACAAAGAGGGAACACAGTCAGTTGAGTATTCACCTACGAGCAACTGGGAGCCTTGAGCCGACTTAATTTTGATTGTGTGGAAGGTGTTAGGAATCCCACAAAAAAAAAAAAAAAAAAAAAAAAGACCCCAAAATTAAATCTGTCATGCTGTGAGTGCTACTGCACCACTGTGCTGCCTTTTACAACTTTTATTCATGCAACGGGAGAATGTGATAAAAATAAAACTGCATAAATGAGTCATCAGAGTAGTACATCTGGATTTCATTGTTATTGCTGTGGCTTTCAAAATGTCACCGAATGGGATCTGCTTCCCCCCCTGAATAATCACCTTAAATAATCAAGAGCATCAACTTTCAAATTGCTGTTACCCCCCAGTCTGTGCGAAACGCCGGTGGGGTGTTTCTGTGGCATGGCTGGAGTACACAACCTCCGGCCCTGCTTTTCTTTGATGTGCTCCGAAGCCACCCGCTACCAGGAACTGAAGATCAAAGACACGTGATTTTATCAAATAGAGCTCTTGTCGACTGTTTGTAATGCTTTATTCTTCATCAGGAATACCCACTCTGTCACCACGATGCCACAGGAGACGCAGTGCTCTTTTAAAACCCAGTGGTGATCTCCCCGTTATCCAGATGAAAACGGATTTATTCAAACCTCCCATCAACCAACCCTATAAATAGAAGCTTGTGGAAAATCTTCTGAGAGAGAGAGAAAAAAAATAATCTGTGCTCTTAAGCTGTTATTAACATGCTGATAGAAAAATGTCAAATGTTATTTTAGAGCAGGGAATTTTCTGTGAAAAGAAGCATAACGCTTCCCGGTAATATTTATGACACAAATGTAAGATTTACTAAATGATGAAATTACCTGACAAAATACACAGCTGAGTCATACTCACTGTTGTTACTCCACATGCTATTTGACTGTGTGTGTGAGGGGGCTGGATTGTTAATGGTAATTTTCTTCAGATGGTGTATGCATTATGGCTTAAGGGCTCTAGAGAAGCAGTAGCTAAACTATTCTCGAAATGGGTTTGTCATCCAACTTGATGGAGGTTAGCCACCTTAAAAATCACACGGAAATCTAGAGCTAGAGTAATTCTTACAAAAGCCATATAAATATCTTGAATGCTGTGGTGCTGATGCATCTTACGATAAACAAATTCCACATATGTGCGTTTGAAAAACGTGCCTGGAAATGTGACGTGGCACATAGCAGCGCTCATCTCCAGTCAACTGAACAGCTGAACTACTGCAATCAATATTTGTCTCTTCTTTGTGATAAGATAACTGCCACCTGTTATCCAGAGTGTTATTATAGCAACTGTTATTTTGGTACTTGCCACAGGGAACTAGCTCCATAACATTCCTGCAATCATTATTTCCCCACATCCCCCTCCAAAAAAGGTTGATTCATTATTTTTGGTTCATTGTGCCTTGATGAACACCCCTCCCTTCCCTGAAGTATGTAGCGTATTCCTCAAGGTGGGACGGTTCTCTGCTATCTGTTAAAATGCGAGCAGTTATGTGTCGAGAATGGCTTTCTTCGCAGTAGGTGAGAAAAAAAACACAACAACAAAAGATTAAAAAAAGAAAAAAACTCCCCCTACTAAGTGATAACACGAATACACAGAGAAATAACAGCCCTTATCATAAATAATAATTCGCTTATCTACTTTTCAATGTGTGTGGATGAATAGGTGGTTTGTGCATGCATGGGTGCTTGATGCATGTATGCACATTAGTGAATTACATGTCAACTGAAAATGCCGTCTTTCCTCTGTATATTGTTATTGCTCATTTCCAACAAACAGTGAAAACACGTTGCATTGCTCTATGGCAGCACTGCAAAAGTAGTATCCCTCTAGAACAGCTTTGAAAGAAAAGAAGAAAAAGCTCGTTTTTAAAATTAAATAACCTAAATACATTCCCGTATTTTCTGCAAAGCTAAACAATCCTTAACTCTTACATCTCATCCACAAGCTTTATGTGTTGCATTGCTTGAGCATTGTGCTCCAATTGGACACTGCTGCATCTATGATCCCAATCGTTCCATTTGCCATACAGGCTGCATGCCAATAAAAATGAAGGATGTGTCCGTATTGACCGCTGCTGGTCTTTGTATGGATGACACTGACATAAATGTATATACACACAAAAAAAATTATCTTTGGATTTGCAGCCATTTTAACTCTGCTTATGTGTACAAAAACAGCCATTTTAAAATTCACAGCAATGATAGTGCATTTTGAATTCAGTCCAACCAAATGAAAGACCCCCTTTTTAGATGGTTTGGTTTGTGCTGGTGTGGTCTTTACTACACCCAACTCCCCCGGCAGCTTTTTTCCCCTTTTATTCCTTCATCTTCTTCTTTTATTTTTATCTTGAAGTTGACTCATTTCTGAGCCAACTACACTAGATATATCTATGTGTGCTCTTTGTTTCATGGGCCATCACACTTCAAACATGCAATTAGGGCAGAGGTAGGAGTGACTGACGTGCACATTTATTTGACATGATTGCTATCTTCTCTATGCATACTTAATTCCATATACAACTATTTCAGCATAAAGAAGAAAGATGACAGGATACTCACCTTCTTTAGGAGGCCGTTTAACTTCTGCGGTCAGATTGCAGATCTGCCCGGCTTGTAGTTGGGGTGACAAGCAACCCTCCGTTTGTGGATTCAAGGGTAAAACCACGTTGTTGAGCATGAGCATGCTCTCTGATTCTCCATCGCCTAAATGCTGAGGACATGTGCATTTCGTGTACACAATCCCACATGTCTCCACTGTCCCTTTTTCTAATTTCAGGCAATTTTCCAGCCATGTACAAAGCACTTGACATCCAAATTGGCTAGGGCTGGCCTTGTTCAACACTAGAAACTCCACAATAGACTTCTCCTCCTCATCCAGCTTCTGTGGCGTCAATCCATTGTAATCATAAGGGAAAACTCTCCGTAGCTGAACAAAATTCTTGTCATACAGCAAAAATACGTAAATATTCTTTGAATCACACAAATACACTATAGACTCGTTGACTCTCAGCAGTTCATTGATCTTTTCATGTGAGTAATGGTCAAACTGATAAGCAAGCAAAGAGTATTCAGAGCAGCTCAAGTCTCGCTTGTATAGCTTCAGGTAGATGCTGTATTTGGTAGGGTCAGGGTTCTCCAGCGTCCATGTACAGTTTGTATAGTTCTTGGGAAACATTTCAGTCACTGAATATGATCCATAAATGACCCCCTTGACCAGAGTGGAACACCAATAATCTTGGGCACCAGTTAATCCAAACATAACCAGAAGATAGGTGGAAAATATATAAATCAACAGGTTTCGAACAGCCTTCATCCTATGTCATTTGGCCTGCAGGGAAAGATGAAGAGGATTACACAAAGGGGTGTTAAAGCAGGGCACATAAACACATGATAGATTATCACTACCAAGTCTGACTAACGAGCTTACATAGTTCTTATTACATCCTGCCATGATAAGAAGGGGGGCAAAAAGACACACAGGTAAACCTCAGCAACATGTGTTTTGCATCTCCATCCTTCATCACTATACTTTGTGCAAGCATTGCCACCTTGTGGTTGCTTCGGCTATTATTTATTTATTTATTTTTATTTAGGGAGGTGGGTGCAATAATGTGAGTCATTTAGACTTATTAATTGGGTCGTATTCGGTACGGCACAATCCCCGGAGATATACAAATGTAGCTATTTAGAAAATCTGGCGACAAAAAGGAAGAAACGGCGAAAGTGGCAGCCTTTGTAAGTCAGCGCAGTCCACGCGAGTTGTGGAAAATGTGCAGCTGCTCATTTTACGCAGTAACCAGTATCTTTGCACATGAAGCTATGTTCTCTGTGAATGTTTGCTCACGGGACAGTTAGATAATATGAGGAAGACAAACTGACGTTATATATATTTTTATTATTATTTATTTGGAGGGGGGTTATGTCCTGGCGTGTGCTCGGTCACTGCGAACTGTCGCCTCTTCCACACCACCTGCATGTCTCTGAATTTCAGGCATATTTGACAATGCAATTTGATAAAGAGACTGTGTGTGTGTGTGTGTGTGTGTGTGTGTGTGTGTGTGTGTGTGTGTGTGTGTGTGTGTGTGTGTGTTGTATGTCTGAGCTTGCATGTGTGCGTGTGCGGATCTACATGTGTGTGTGTGGGGGGGAGAGAGAGAGAGAGAGAATGCAATGCGATGTCCTGATTGCTTTAATCCTACAGGCAATGCAGCTGTGAGCAGTGTCACAGCAGAATGCGCGCGAGGGTGTGTGTACGTGTGCGCCTGTGTGTCTGTGTATGCGCGCGCGTGTCTCGAACTGTGTGTTGCGTGTGTGTCTGTGTGGGCGTTCAAATCGCAAGTAGGCTAGAGATGGGCTACCAGTTTTCACATAATAGATCCATTTGCGCATATGTCTTCAACTTCTTTCTCTTTGAATCGTGAATCACGCCCGTCACATTACCCCAGAATTATATGTGCGTTATATAAGGATTTGTGGAAGCGGTGCTGAGTTGGATCATCTTTCTGCCGCGATAAATTCACATGATTTCACGTCCTTCCACAAGATTCACGACCAGGGCTAGACGAGAAAAATAAAATCAGTATTCTGGAGACGAGAAATCGGTCAAGAGACGCTGATTTTATTGCCGGGCTTCTAAGAGCAATTTAGACTCGAGAGGAAATCTGAATATAGAGACACGTCGGCCACGGGCTACATCTCATGCAGTGTCACTTCGAGGCTCGGCACTTTAAAGTGATTTTTGGCTCTTAAGAGAGAGATCAGCTCTTAAAATTCCTCTGTTAAGCACCCTGGACTAATGTGAGCGGATGAACGCTCCAAAACCATCGTGATGAATATACGGGGCAAATGTTTGAGAGAGGGAGGCTAAACTTTAACTGACAGATGACATATGAAAATTGCCATTGCACTTGCTCGAAGACCTTCATCTCATAATAATAATAATAATAATAATAATAATAATAATAATAATAATAATAATAATAATAATAATAATAATGTCTTACCTTACACTGCGGAAGCTATGGCTATTTTTTCCACATACTTGACCACATCCTTTATAAATAAATTCTGCAGCCCTCCAGTGAATCAATACTCCCCATTCCCGACAATAGAAGTCCGGCGCAACAAGATGGTTCAATGGATGAAAATAAAATGCGTTACACTCCGGTCTGCCCGCACATATCCCCCCGTCTCCTTCTTCTGGGTTTTTCCCATCAAAACGGAGCGCAACAACACACGACAGCCACCGAGAAAAAGAGAGAGAGAGGAGAAGAAGAAGAAGAAGAAGAAGAAAGGAGAAAGACCAGGAGAGACAGAGGGGAAGAAATTCTTGGAGTGACGACGAGAGCAATTCTTACAGTATTTACCATAAATTAATTCGGCAGACTCCACGTCTCTATTTCCCACCGAAATGTTTTCTCCATCAAGTCGCGCACCGACCCCCCCTCTCCGCAAAAAGGGGGTGAATAGGGAAAAGAAAAAGAAAAAAAGATCCGTAGTGGGTGGATGTGAGATGTTGGGGGGTCAGTGAGTTACAACACAGAGAGAAATAGACGCGCTTTGCTTGGTGCTTGCAGAGCTCCAGGAGCAGGCTGCAATATCACGTCACACTCAGCCGCTAAGATAAAGCACGTACGTACGCTTCTTACTGCCGCTGCGTCTGGCACCGCCACCACTTTCTTCCCTGCCCTCCTCCTCCTCCTCCCCTCTTTCTTTCTTTCTTTCTTTCCTTCTTTTTTCTCTCTCTTTTTCCCCTCATACAGCCTCCCTTTAATTCGAGTCAAAAGGGTTTCCCCCCCTGAACTGGACCCTCTCAGTTGTGCTTCAGACAATACTGCGCTTTGCTTCTGCGCCCTTCTCCAATCAGGAATATTTCACGGATTTTTTTATTTTTGTTACATTTTTTTTTTCTGGATAAGAGGAGGGTGTGAGAATAACGTGATCATAAATGCTACTCGAGCGCTCTATCAGTGGGACTTGAGAGCTCGCTGGTGTGTTTGGTAATTTTCCCTTCTCTCCTGATGGGTGACAGCCGCTGTTTTGATTTCTTCACAGTTTGTCGATGTGCAGCACCCTGCACGTCCTCCTGCTCGCCCGAATTCGCGCTGCTGGAAGAACAAATGCTTATGGGGCAACTTGTGCCGTCTGTGGAAAGTTGTGCCGGGGTGTCTTCACCTTACAGGTGCAACTTTAAAGCTGCTGTTTTTCTTTCACTTTATTCTGCTTTCTCGGGGGAGTGCTTGCACAGACCGCCTTAATGTTTTCCCTGAACTCTTTCAAACGTTTTTTTTTTCTTACAGTCTAAATGTGCATTCATTCAATCATCAGTAGTGAACTAAATGCTCCAGGCTTCATCAGCTGGCCGCTGACAATGAGGCACAAATGGTTCTGCAATAGTCTTCATCTCCCACTGGCTGAACTCATGGGAAGAATGGAATTGTAATGGAATGGGGATAGGGAGCTTCAGGGTGATCCAAATCACCTGCTGATCACTCCGCCCCTCCAAATGAAGGTGGAGGAAGGGTTTTGTTTTCATATGTGCCTTTTCTTTATCAGTATCCCATACAAAGGCTAAGCACAGACCTGATCATGTGCTTAAAAGAAAATGTATGGTAACGGAATGGCTGTCTTTGTTTTAGCCATGCCACGGGCTGGATAGTTGTCCAGGGTCTACTCCGCCTCTCGCCCAATGCCAGCTGGGATAGGCTCCAGCCAACCACCACTCTCCACAGGACACAAGCGGGTAGAGCTTGGATGGATGGAGAAATGATTGTGCATGACTTTCACATAGCTTGGAGCTCAATTCATTTGCATATTTGGGTTATTTGCATATTCAAAAAGGATGACATTCAATTGGTAAGTCCAGACAGAAACAACTGTTTGGTGTAGTTTTATTTTGTGATTTCTTTTTTCTTGGAGAGTTTGGTCAGCTGCTCTAATCATTTTACTGCGAATAGTTAACTCTCATTAGCCTGGCCGTCTCTTTCAGGCCCTGACTGAATGCGTTCCATCTGAGCAGATGCTGCATGAAGAAGCTGTTTGTTTATTTATTTCCAGGAAGTTTCAATCTGAAGTGTTTCTAAGCCAGCCTTTCCAAAAGAATGCTACAGAACCACACAGAGCAGCAGCGTTGTGAGAATCTGAAAGGACTTGTTTGTATCTCCAGCATCCTATCCCACACAGCGTTTACAACATTGTTAATCGGTTGCCAAACTTATAAAGGAGCTTGGAGTCCTGTTGGTTTCTGTGGCCTGTGACTAGAAGCTTTCTAATTCCAGTCTTCCCCAGGCAGTCAGTGGAACATCAGGGGTGACCTCGAGTCAGCCCACTTTCCACGGCCATAATGAAGACTTGGGTGTTTAGGGAGCTTTTGGCTCAGTACGCCAAGAGGTGGGAGAAATTCATGCAAAGCCTTATTGAACAATGAAAACACAATAAGTATCTCTCCACTGACTCATGAGGAGGCCAATTGCCAAGCTCCAGGAATGCAGCCATCACTCTCCTCTGCAAGGACATTTCCAGAGTCCAGCTGGTATGCTCTGTGGTTGCATTGTTGTCACTGCAACAAGAAGAAAAGATTACATTTACTACGTTTAAGATTACATTCATGAGGGAATGTGAGTCCAGAAATTGTGGCCCAAGTAAGCAGTCAGCTCAAGAGTGAAAGATTGTGCTGCACTGTGTGATAACAATGAAGCTTTTGAATTTTCTTGAATTTTTCTTGAATTTTCTTTTTGAATGTCTTGGATTTGCATTCAGCAAGTGTAGTAGTTGCACATGCAGCACGGCAGTTTATCCTCTGCTAGAATCTCCAAAACATTTGTGATATTTTTTTTCATCTAATAGCAGTTGCGGAATCTGTCATATTATTCAGTCAACTCGAGTCTGTTTGAGCACATGGAATTTGAATTATTCATGACCCCGCATATAGAATAGCCCTATTATCACCTGCTCCTGTTTGTGTGTGTGTTTGTGTGACTGAAATCTACACTAACACTTGTGTGCGTGCGCGTGTGCCGAACAGTATATCTCTCTGATATTATGGCTGCATTTCATTTCATGGCCGTTGCAAAATGCAGTGTGATAAACATTAGCCTTTTGATCATGTGATAATATCAGTTTATTGATGTGAATCAACCTTTATGATTAGCATGTGAGTGGATACAAATATATATATAAATTGAATCAGCGACAGAAACATGTTTGGTTCCAGTTTTCAGTGTACCTACCAATTCATACAGTATGGTGCAGTGCATAAACATATGCAGGCATATAGGGTGAATTCTCTAGACACCAGTGAAATGTATTCAGACTTTCAGCTCAACTCAATCACGACGAGGGAGTCCATATGTTACTTCTGTCTGCACAGTGATAATGGGCTCCTCCCTGTAGGAATCTCAGCTGGATGACGTATTGGTAAACCCCAAATGAGCGTATCTGAGGGAAGTTTTTCTTGAAGTGCTCAGTTCTTTTGTGCGTCCTCCTGTGCTGTTGTGGAAGAAGCTATTACACCATTTGTCATTACAGAAGTTGTGCATTTCTGTCAGATTCTGGAGTATTTTCTTTTGTTTTATTTCCACTGCTGTTTTCTGCACTGCTACATTTTCTTCCACAAATTGCCATGCAGAATCTTCTCCGTTACACACAGCTAGTTAGGTTTAATGATTGCTGTTACCAAAGATGTCACTCTGTTTTTGTTTTGTTTGTTTTTTATGCCACAAAAGTAGCATGGAAATGAGAGCGGTAGGAGGATAACCACTTGAACACAGGCTGAAATATCTTAACCATTGAAATGTACTGACATTACTTGTCCTCCAGAGAATGATTTTGGCTTTCCAGTTCCTCTGACCTTTAGGACCTCTAGCGAATTTTTAATTGCTTAAGTGAGTTTTTATCTAGAATTATACACAGGTCACTTACAAAGTGAAAACTTGAAACCTACTGAATAGACTGGCATCTAAATTTACCCAGGCATAAAAGCTCCCCAAGCAATGAACGTTGTTGATCTTGTGACTTTTCCCTCTAATGCCAGTGGGAGGTTAACATCTGTGGTTTTGAGTCATATGGCTCAACAACTACTGGATGAAATTTTGCACACATGCTCAGAATGTCCACAAGGAGAATTGCTGGTGGTTTTGTGCTTCTCTCAAATATTTATCCCATGTCAAAGTGTTGAAAAAGACAAGAAAATTTGGTGCATTATTGTGTCAAAATGCTGCCTTGCTAGTGCTTTGTTTTCGTCTTTTATGAAATACCTGCTAAGCAAATGACATTTCCATTCAACACTGCTGTTCTTTGTAGAGTCTCAGTGAGCAGACTGCATTCATGTTGACTTACAATCTTGTCGAATTTTTCTTGTGAACCTTTGAAAAAGCTTTCTTTTTCTTGCAACTTCAACTCACAAAGAGTGTGGTCAAAGAGGCACGGCCATGCCAATGACTCCTGTGAACATATCTACACATACCGTAAGATTGTGAGCGTCCACAAAGATTTCATGTGTGACCACCTGATGCATTCATAACTGCTGTATTTGCATTAAAGATTCATGCTAGTGGTAATGGTTTTGGTTGTTTAGGTTTTTTTGCTTTTTTATGCATCATGTCTACTGGATGTCACTATCAGTGTATACAGGCTTGTGTCTTATGGTTCAGTGCAATCATTACCCTAATGATGTACAACTCTATTAACAAATTAAAGTGTGAGTGCATCCCTTCAAGGGCTGTTTTCCCATTTTTCTTCATGTTTAATTAAAAACTGGTGCAGAAATTGCAGAGTGCTGGAGTCTGGATGGGGTTAAGTGCTGAGGGCAGTTCTTACACTTCTTGTATGGCAACGATAAACACTTCAAGTGGGCGCAAAGGGAAATGTATGCTAACCATATGAGCTAATCAATGCCTGTAAAAAAAGATGCATAGTTAGAGCATTTTTAAGACCGCACAGTCGCTTGCAATCAGTGTATTAAAATGAGTCCCCCATGAAAAGGCCCTTTGACTCCTGAGCACACATGATCTTTGCTAGTCAATAACAATGCATTATTAACCACATTTAGTTTGCTAGCGTGCTAATTTAATTTTTGATGCCGTTAGAAAATGTTGTGTTTTCACAAACACAGTGCTGTGAAAAACCATACCATTATATCGTTTTATGTTTTTTTCTCCCTTAATCCATGTTTTCCTCACAAACACAGGCAACAGTGTAAATAACACCACTCATATTTGCATTTATTGCAATATGCAGCGAGAAGTTCCCTCAATGAGTTCCTAAAGAAACAAAGAGCGACAGAATTAATTCTTTATCATCTAAAATTTGTCATGAGGAAATTATCTTTTAAACACAGAATGAACAAAGGAAGGTATCAGAGGTCCACTTCTATCAAAACTTTAATGTGTGTAAAGCATTTAACAGGCTTCAAACATTAAAGTTTAAATATTCTTCATTACTTTTACAAGGGAAAATGTATTTCTGATGTTTTTCACAGACTCTTTACTACCTTATTTGCAGAGACATGCTCTCTCAACTTAAAACCTCACTTTAGAATAACCTTGCGTGATTAATGAGGTGAACTCTATGGTGTACTGACATAGTGCACTCTGATACCATCCAGGGTAAGAACAAAGTCTTGAAATGTCTCTGCTCAGAGACATTAGGCCAAGGTCTGCCTCCTATGGTGTTTCCAGGCTGTCTTCACAGAAATCCGGGAGATCTAAAAGTCAGTCAGCAGAGTGAAAATGCTTTTTAGGAGTGATATGATCTCATCTTTAGCAGGAATGACTCCCATGCTTTTAACCCTTACCGCTGCTTGTTTTCAGCTAAAAGCCCTGAAAGCATAACTGAACCTTGAACATGATCAGAATTATTGAATGTACCATTGATAACACACAGTTATTTTTGTAGGTAGTGGAAATCAAAGAAACAAAGTTACTGTATGAGTGCTGTGAGGAGTAAACAGTACTACATGGGTAACGTTTGGGGATTTTTTTAAGTGTTTTTTAAAGTTGCTGATCCATTTGAAATGCTAGACTTTCAGAATTGGATTAGTGTGTGTTGTGTGATTATTAGTTGATGGTCAAAAACACTGTGTTTTAATACAGTTACTGGACACTTTATTAGGTACACCTTACTGGTACTACTGCATATTGGGCCTGCTTTTGCCTTCAGAAATGAAGCCTATGCATAAGTTCAATAAGGAAGATCTATAATCACTCATCCGCTTGCTTTCCTGGGTGTTCAGCTGCTTGTCTGTTCTTTACATCGCTACCAGTTTCCCACGCTGTCAGTCTTAATACTGGCATCATTACTCTAGTCCAATCATCTTCTTGCCAGCCTTCTTTGAGCCAATCAGCCGTGCCTTTGTGTGGTTTAAATCTGGGCTCTCCGTCGTGCTCCCTTTCAGGCTCTCATTCGTGGAATCCACCTACTCCCTATCTCCACCTCACCCAAACCACTCAGAGCTCCATCCAAGTCTCAGTCTTCATCTTCACCACTGGTATCGAGACTCCAAAGGGGTCCTGTTCTAAATCCCATTACCACTGGGATTATGTTCTGCCATGATGGGCCACGGGAGTCTTATTGAAAAATACACTGATTAATTTCTCTATCTCAATAAATCATGTTCAGTTCCTCAAACAGAACTCTCCTTACTCAACTGCATTACATATTTCTGACAAAGATTCAACACAGTGCTGAAAACGTTCCCCAGAGAGTTTGGGCCACATTGACTTGATAGTGTAGTAAAGCTGCTGAAGGTTTGTCTGCTGCATATCTATGATGAGATGATCATTCCCACACATCCCAAATGTGCTCTATTGAAGTGAGATCTGGTAACCTTGTAAGCAATTTGATTACAGTGTTGAAGAAACCAGTTTGAGGTCATTTGAGCTTTGTGACAAGACATAATGTCCTGCTGGAATCAGCATCAGAAAATCCATACACTGTGGCCCTTAAAGGACTGGCATGGTAAAGGATCCCCAGATGGTACTAAGGGGCCTAAAGTGCGCCCAGAAAAACATTGTAATGGATATTGCTTGTTTCTTAAAAATAAATCCACTATAGCCACCAGCACAGACATGCTACATTTCCACTCTGAAAATTGCAGGTTTAATATGATGGGAGGGCTGAGCAAAAATGGATGGGTTCAGGAACCAGTAATAGTCTAATTGTGTGTAATTTTGATATATAAACACCAGACTATTGAGTAATGGGATTTAGACCATTTTGATCATATTTATGGTATTTATTGTTGAAATGCACACACTGTATTTTAGATAATTATGAACTAGGTATAAAAACTTTTTCTAATTTTTCCATTTTATTGGAACTTTTAAAAGCCAGTCTTTTGTATCATCAGCGGCTTCTATCTCAAGCAACCACAAAAAAAGGTAATCATACATCAAGAGTATTGTATAATTCCCAGGATGACTCGTCTATTTTTTTCCCAGCATCTTTGATTACTTTCTCTGCTAGGGTTTTTTTTTATGTTGAATATACTATTCTGCTTTCCAGTCAAAGGAATTTTCTTTTTCAGATAAATGACACTGCTCTCCACCAAACCAGTCCAAATCTCACAGCTACAGAGTTACCTGTTAACAAAAGAGGAGCTAAATAATATATTAAAACCGTTCCTCATTTAAACCATGCATAATTTGGAATTATTATTAAATAATTAGAAATAAAGTGTTAAAAATGTATATGAGCTTTGTATATGATTGCAGGGCAGTCTTGCCTGGAAAAGAATCAACAGGCACTATTTCTATTGCTGGAGTTTAATATTCAGGAAAAAAATATATGTAGAGCCTGTCATGCATGTGTGACCTAAACTATGGCAGTCTGGTGCATACAGCTCTGCTTTACATTCCACTCGCACCTCTATTTGCTTTTCCATGCCTGGGTTTGGAACTGAATTTTAAATCAAGGTATTTTTCCCCAGCAGTGTTCCTGGTTTTTTTTGTTTTTTTCCCCCCCATCAGAGACAATGCGGCACTGCATGATTCCTCGGGGCCTTTATCCATTTTCTTTGAATGTGGTTCCAACTAGGCCTTAGACTCCCACAAACCCCCTTCTCTGGCTATGTAAATATTCCATACCCCCACACTGTGGATTGACAACTACTCCTGACTTAAAAGCATCATGTTAAACAGCAGGTTGGAAGCCAAACTTAATGATTTGGGGCCCAGTGCTTCATCTTACCAGTTGCTAGATCTTTCCTCTTGCCTTGCAGTTCCACATTATGTTTTATAAGTAAAACAGCCAGTGTAATGTCTTGTTATATGTTCAGTTGTGTGTATGTGTATAAATATAAAATTAGAATTTTGAAAAAAACTAATGATCACATAATAATTTAACCATTTTTTTTTTCATGTGTTAGTCTATAAATATATAAATTAAAAGATAGATGACTGATGCGTATCACTTTAACTCATTTCATACAAAAAAACCAAGTCATTCATTGAAAGATCCCCTGAACAGTCAGCATAGAGAGATTTGTCCTTGTTAATAAAGGAGATCGCGGGTCACCTTGGCAATTATCAATTCTCAATGGACGCAATAACAAACTATCTTTGCGACAAATCGCCTGCCATGTTTTAATTTTCCTGTCTGTAATTTGTTTTACTCAATGCAGCGAGGAAATGAGAGGGGTGGGATAGAAATAACTGACAGTCTTGGAGTTCATTGGAAAAGAGCTGCTTAGTCATTAATAACAGACTAAAATGTGAGTTAAACCCATAATTTTGCTATTGGTGTTATACACTGTTAACACCGCTGAGTTCTCTATTCTGTAGTTGCAGTAATTAATCATGAGCCATGAACTAAATTCAGTCTCTGTCATGTTTAACCCCCTCAATTCCGCTTTACGGCTGTAAAATTCAGATCTCAGGCATTGTGCAAGCAGATCTGGAGTAGTTTAATTTATTGATAATCCTGGTATGTTTGCACAAGCCTTTCATCACTTTCTCTGATGCTACTGTTTGTAGAAACTAGAATCAGAGAGGTCTGCCTTGTGATATCGGCTCGACATTAATATGGGCATTCCCAAAATGCATTTCAGATTGTTATTCAGACATTTTTTTTAAAGCAGCGTAAGGAACATTTTCTTATTCATCCTTTACTCTTCCAGCAGAAGCATAGTTTTTTAATATGAAAAGCCTCAGACACACACACACACACACACACTGTTGGCTCTATCAAGCTTTGTAGCTCCATGGACAACGCTGAGATTCAGCTAATTAAAATTTTGGTGATAAAATAATTAGCCTCTCTGGCAGACAATGGAGAGTGAAATTCTTTTGCTCAAGTGAAGTGATAAGAAACTTTTCAAGCATTTCACGTTTGCTGCCGACAGGACAACCCCAATTTGGTTAGACTGGAATGCTTGTGTGTATATTTTAATTAACAGTATAAGCTTCCTCACCTGAGAGCATGCCCACACTTCAACAGAACTTCAGTAGCATAAAAAAAATACAGATAATTTTTTTCCTCGTAAATTAACACATTTTCTGGCACTGTTAATCACGATTTGTGTCGAAATCTATGAACGCATGCAAATTCATTTTTGTCATGTATGATATTTTACAATAATTCGTAAGTCTCAAGAAATGTGGTTTCCCATTTACCTCAATATTTCTCAGCGCAGACTGATTACACAGTTTTTGTGTTAATATTTTCTTATTTACAAACCTTTAATTAAC